CAACCCACCTGAGAGTCTCGACCCAGACTTTGAAACAATTAAATGAAGCATAATTATAAATATATGTATGTACAAGTTAAAAAAATATGGAAATGTGGTAATATAAAGCCAAGAGGTCATAAGGAAAAACAGTGCAAAGATGATATAATGATTGACAGGACATAAGGTTATCTGTTACATAAGGCTGAGTTGTTGTTTGTATGAATGTTTATAGATCTGGTATTGATTACAGATTGTCAATACTCATCCAGTTATGTATTAGGGGACAGAAAACACATTTGACTTTTAACTTCAGCTCAGTACATGCGGTCCTGGCGTCACTTCCTGTGTCCATTTGTAGGATTATTTTATGTGCGTTTGTTTTAGATTGTCATGTTAAAGGGGTAGATATACAGTATGTAGCACAAAGTCAGTAAGATCATCAGCTCGGTTTTGTTTACTTAAAAAGGGCCCAGATTATGCTATTTTTCTGAGCTATGTTGTTTAATAATATTGTTTCGTCATCACAAACAGACCTGGAGTTGTGTTTTGTTTCATTCACACATGTTTAATACGCAAACCCTGCACATTTAGGCTGAGTTCTTCTCTCAAACTCTGTTCAACCTTGCGATGTCATGTGGTAATTACATTTTTGTGTAGTATAGGATCTTTAAAAGTGCACTGTGTAACCATGGAGATGTTATTGATTTGCCTCTAATGTTCCACAGTATAACGATCAGTTATCTGTTTCATGTAAACAAACAAGTGATGCCAGATTAGACCAAGTTATAGGCCAGATCAGCGGAGAGGCGATGTCATTTACAAAAAGGCATCAAATATATGAACCAGGACAAATGGAATCATGTAAGATAAAAATGTAAGAAAAATCAGAAATATTTTTTGACAAAGCAATGGGTCAGTCTGGTGCCACCTAGTGCCTTCGCTCAATTTAATTTCTCTCCAGCGACTAGGTCAGGAATCAAAATACACTAAACAGTTTGCAAGAACCTCAAAAGTTGTAGACCGCGCACCGACCAATCAGCTGTGAGCTGTGAAGCCATGACGTCAAACTCAAGCGTCTGTCTGGGTCCCTTTTGTGGAACAGCACAACAGTAAACAAAGCGTCGAGATGAATGTAGACGAAGACAGACATTCTGTGTTGCACCGATTCCCGAGATCGAGGATTTAAAGCCGGAACAAAGAGAATGTTTGGTGAATTTTATCAAGGGGAAAGACATTATTGCACTTCTTCCTACGGGATTTGGTGCTTTACATACGTCACGACCAAACAGCAGCGATTGGTTAAATGATAAAAAGTACCCACCTACTGCCGACTACCTGCGAACGAATCTTAATGCTGCGAGGTCAGGTTTCGAAGAAGTGAAACCGGGAGCCGCTAATACTGTGGAGCATCCCAGGCAAACTCATAGCATCTCCTTGGGGACTCCACACCAGAAAAGCTACACAATGCACCTTTAATCTCTCTAAATATTAGGGATGGGCATTCTATGAAATTTTCTCAATCGATCGTTGGAAGAATTAACGATCGATTATCGATTAATCATTATTTTTACTATCTGCACTACTAATCTGCATAAATAAATTCAACTTTACGACATATAAACCGTAACGACTCTAGAGCCACATCAGCCCGTTTGACATTATAATGTGTTTAATTCAGTTTTGCGCAACTCTCACAGAAACGAAACTTAAAACCGCATCGCAAATTTGCATAAACTCAGCGAAGATAAAACTACAGCTCTTGTGTCGCTGATGCAACATGACTCAGGTGAATACAGGTTAGTGTGACCATATTTGCGTTTGTCAAAACCAGGACACCGTACGGGGGGAGGGAGGTGGGGACTCGTCATCGACATTGCGCGACTCTCACCTGGCAAAACTTTTTCCCACTGGACACCGAAACATATGTGCTGCTTTGTTCACTGTGCACATGGACTCACACTTGTCCCGGCTGGAACGGAAAGCGTGGAATTTCTTGTACAAGTCATCGTTGCACATCGTTCGCATTTGCACTTTACGTTACGTTGCAGACTGACCGACTGTTTGTGTCTCCTTCTAAGTGCAGAGAGATACATGTACAGACCCCTGTTTGGTCAGGCTACGCACAGCAACCTACATTCGGTTTGTCGATTAAATGTGGGGCGGCAGTAGCTCAGTTGGCTGAGCATTCGCCCACTGATCTGAAGGTTGGCGGTTTGATTCCAGCTCTCAACATAAACATCACAGGTTGAGCGGTCAGATCCACTGACCCACAGGTTGGCTGGTGTGATTCCAGCTCCCACAGATGAATGCTGCCATTGTGTCCTTGGGCAAGACACTTAACCCACCTTGCCCACAGTGTCTGTGTACACTGGTGTGTGAATGGGTGAGTGGTTCCTTGTTGTAAAGCGCTTTGAGAGCCTTGAAGGTGGAAAAGCGCTATAGAAAAATGTGACCATTTACCATTTTCCATTTTAAATGAACGTAATCGATGAAATTTTTAATGATCAATTATCGATTAATCGACTAATCATGCCCATCCCTAATAAATATATAAAAAATACCTACTGAGAGGGTCTGCTGTATCTCTAGTCTTTATGTTATACAAGCCAAATCATTATAAAACATACAAAGTGAATGTCTCTGTATGATTCTCGTCTTTTATTTTCCTCATCATTGATTTAAATAGATTCACTGTAGCGTTGTTTCCCCTGCGCGTCACTATTAATCTCCCCCCATTTAAGTGAAGGTGCTCCCAGGCGGCTTGGGGCTGGGGGGGGGCTTTTCTTTTGGCGGGCACCACTCCAGAGGTCAAAGTTCATAATTATTCTAAATAGAGTCAGATACTCAAGGACACTGCTAAAGTTAAAGCGAGTATTGGCAGCAGCAGCGTGGGGTTCGGGGACTCCCTCTTATTCACTCTCTCCATTCATTATCTATGTCGGGAGCATTTTCCTAATTTCAAAGTTTCATTTAATCTACCCCCAAATGGAAAAGGACGATGCATAATTAAAGCGGGTTCAGAAACGCAGTGAACCAGAGACTCCGTGCTGGAACAGATTTAACTGATTTAATTAAAAATACATGCTCGGTTTGAAGAAGACGTGTTTATTTTAGGGTTAAATTATTTTTTAATGGGACAATACGCCAAATATTACAGACAATTTGACCATTACGCTTTCTTGCATGCGAATAAATAAACCGTACCATGCAATTTTCAAATAACATTAAAGCTTGTGATGCAAATTTCTCTGATCTGGCCAAGATTTTTCAGCTTTTATCACTTTTATTTTCAGATTTATTATTGACTTACTAGTTCTGAGATGCTTAATTCTAGTCTAGAGGTTGGTTTATTTATTTTATCTTGCCACATGGACAGATAATTTCACTATTCTTAAGTCATTTTCTGATAGATTTAAGTGTTTATATCTTAAATTTTGGCCCAGTTTTTCGCAATGTGTGTTTTACGTTTTAAAGATGTACTGTGTAACTTTCTGATCGTCACTAAGGAGATTATTTTGCTTATTTTTGCCTCTTGCATTTATTCAACTGCAGATGTTGTTCTCGCTCCATTTCGACGCTTCTCCGTAAAGATAGAAGCTTAATGCTCTACTGTGGAACATTTAGACATTTCCATGGAGATGAGTTGGTTTTGTAGGTTCTTCCAGAAAAGTTGCATAGTGTATCTTTAATGTATAACTGATAATCAGTGTTGGGCAAGTTACTTCAAAACTGTAATGTGTATATGGACTGAGCTAGGACTAAACCAGGACTAAACCAGGACTAAACCAGGACTAAACCAGGACTAAACCAGGACTAAACCAGGACTGAAGCAGGACTAAACCAGGACTGAAGCAGGACTAAACCAGGACTGAACCAGGACTGAACCCAGAACTAAACCAAAGTTGAACCAGGACTAAACTAGGATTAAACCAAAGCTGAACCTCGACTGAACCAGGACTAAACCAGGACTAAACCAGGACTAAATCAGGACTGAACCAGGACTGAACCAAGACTCAACCAGGACTGAACAACGACTAAACCAAAGTTGAACCAGGACTAAACTAGGATTAAACCAAAGCTGAACCTCAGGACTGAACCAGGACTAAATCAGGACTAAATCAGGACTAAACCAGGACTGAACCAGGACTAAACCAGGACTGAACCAGGACTAAACCAGGAAACCAGACTAAACCAGGACTGAACCAGGACTGAACCAGGACTGAACCAGGACTAAACCAGGACTAAACCAGGACTAAACCAGGACTGAACCAGGACTGAACCAGGACTAAACCAGGATTAAACAGGACTGAAAGGACTGAACCAGGACTGAACCTGAGGACTAAACCAGGACTAAACCAGGACTGAACCAGGACTAAACCAGGTCTAAACCAGGACTGAACTGAGGACTGAAATGAGGACTGAACCGAGGACTAAATCAGGTGTGAACCAGGACTGAACCGGGACTGAAGCAGGACTGAACCAGGACTGAACCAAAGTTGAACCAGGACTAAACTAGGATTAAACCAAAGCTGAACCTCGACTGAACCTCGACTGAACCAGGACTAAACCAGGACTAAACCAGGACTAAACCAGGACTGAACCAGGATAAACCAGGTCTAAACCAGGACTGAACCGAGGACTAAATCAGGTCTGAACCAGGACTGAACCAGGACTGAACCAGGACTGAACCAGGACTACTGGTTTACTCACATTTGTACCGAGTAAAATATGAACATGTTTGTCCCTCTAATGCCGAACATTACTGCGTTACAGCAAAAAGCAAGCGCATTACAGTAATTCGTTACTTTTATAACACGTTTCTCCAACCATTTTAAATTGTTAATCACTATGGCAGTGGCCCTAATTCATCATCCTTCTGCAGATACTCACATTGACTACTTACTTATTTATTATTTATATATATTTACTTCATTTCTACAGCTCCACAGTCCCTTTTGTCTGTATTGTTTTGTTGTATTTTCACTGATATATTTCCCGTCGTTCTCTCTGTGTCGCAGTAACCAGGCGGTGAGGATGCTGGAGTGCCGAGACAAACCCACTCCGGACATGTTTGGAGAACTGCTCCGAAACGCCAGCAACATGGGAGACCTCAGGAACTGCCCCGTAAGTACCTCCTCTCTGTGTCCACCTCAGGAACTGCCTGGAGTAGAGCTTTTTCACAAATGTTACAGGTGTTCACAGATTACATGTCGAACATTTAAAGGTTGTATGGAGGATTTTTTTTGTTTTTTTTTTGTTTCAAATTGTCAATGATAGATTATAGAGGTGCAGTAGCCTTGTAATTATGATGACCAAAAAAAAAGAGAATAAAAATTCATCAACTCTGGACGTGGTGGGGCTAAACATTTGCCAATAGATAACGACACTGCCTCGTTATCTGTGAGCTGACAGGCTGTCAATCAAACTCCCTACGTTTCTAGCGTAACTGACTTGCCTGCGCGCCGCCGGTACGTGGTTTACGTACGACTGTCACGCAGTCCACAGACGCAAGACGCACAGACGCTGTTTACTCCACCAACGCAACAGTTCTTAGCGGCTTTTTTTGACCTATATCTTCCTCGCAGTTCGCACAAAGTTTATTGCAATGGCGACAAGAATCCAGGAGCAGTTCGCCGCAAAACAAAGTCCGTTTTTGAGGTCGCTGAAAGAAGAAGACAAGGGGAAAAGCAGCGAAACCAAACTAAGGTGATTCTTGAAGATTCATTCCAGTGATGGCGCGACTGAAGCAGACGCAGGGTCTAAAGACTGACGCACTGGTCCACAAATTACTCCTGGACAGGAAACTTCTGCTTATTATGAAAACGTACTTTATTTCCAAGAGCTAGACAAACGTTTTTCAGGACACGAAAGCGATATCCTATGTCTGAAAACTTAATTTTCAAGGCAAAGAAAGAGTCCGCTTGCTGCTGCGTGTTGTAGTAGTAGCTAGTTCATTCGCACGGAATCTCCGCGCCCCTCTCTCTGCCCGCTCTTCTCCCTGCTCCTCACGGAATCTCCACGCACCGCTCCCTCTCTTCTCTTCTCCTCTCCTCTCTCCTCTCCTCTCCTCTCCTGCTCCGCTCTTCTCCCTGCTCCTCACTTCTCGTCCGCGCACGAAATATCCGCGCACCCCCTCCCCCCGCTCCTCACTTCTCCGTCTTGCCTAACCAACACTGTAGTTAGTTGTTTACAAGTCATGTGCAGCACCGGCTGTAAACAAACCTGTTTCTGGCGTAAGGAGGAGGAGGGAGGAGGTGTTTCTACGTAGGAGCTGTAGGGGAGGGGGGGTGGTTTCACGCATGCGCAACATTTGAAAAAGGACAAACAGTCGCTGGATTTCTCGTTCCTTGGAAAATCCTCTATACAACCTTTAAACTGCACAAATCTCTCTGTCTATGCAAATATCTACATCATGAAATCCATTTTTAATTTTAATTGTAGAATCAGTCTGAGTTCACAAGTTACTTATGTTTTATTCATGACCATAATGTTAGTTTTGCTCAGGAGTAGTTCACTAATGTATCGTCGTCGTTCGCTTTTAAGTTTTCGTCTTTCTTACCTCGATAGTTGTGGATAAATTCTTCATGGACAGAATATTTCCTTTGTCGACCTTGTTGGATGAAGTTTTGGTGATGGGGGAGAATACACCAGGCATTTCCACAGATATTTTGCCGTAGAAAAGCAATAACGTAAGTGACGTTTACCCGACATCATGGCACTTCTGGACATTGTGAAAAAAGGTCTGTTACCCCCTGTGTCCATCTCAAGAACTGTGCTCTCAAGTGTTTAAAGTAGTAGCAGTAGTAGCTGTAGTTGTAGTTGTAGTTGTAGTACTTGTAGTAGTAGTAGTAGTAGTAGTTGTTGTTGTTTTAGTAGTTGTAGTAGTTGTAGTAGTTTGTAGTAGTAGTTTCAGTAGTAGTTGTAGTAGTTGTAGTAGTAGTAGTAAGTAGTAGTTGTAGTAGTTGTAGTAGTTGCAGTAGTTAGTAGTAGTAGTTGTAGTAGTTGTAGTAGTTGCAGTAGTTGTAGTAGTAGTAGTAGTTGTAGTAGTTTCAGTAGTAGTAGTAGTTGCAGTAGTTGTAGTAGTTGTAGTAGTTGTAGTAGTGTAGTAGTGTGTAGTAGTAGTTGTAGTAGTGTAGTAGTTGTAGTAGCAGTAGTAGTTGTAGTAGCAGTAGTAGTAGTAGTAGTTGTAGTAGTTGTAGTTGTAGTAGTTTGTAGTAGTTGTAGTTGTAGTAGTTGTAGTAGTTGTAGTAGTTGTAGTAGTTGTAGTAGTTGTAGTAGTTGTAGTAGTAGTAGTTGTAGTAGTTGTAGTAGCAGTAGTAGTTGTAGTAGTTGTAGTAGTTGTAGTAGTAGTAGTAGTAGTAGTTGTAGTAGTTGCAGTAGTAGTAGTTGTAGTAGTTGTAGTAGTTGTAGTAGTTGTAGTAGTAGTAGTTGTAGTAGCAGTAGTAGTTGTAGTAGTTGTAGTAGTTGTAGTAGCAGTAGTTGTAGTAGTAGTAGTTGTAGTAGTTGTAGTAGTTGTAGTAGCAGTAGTAGTTGTAGTAGTTGTAGTAGCAGTAGTAGTAGTAGTTGTAGTAGTTGTAGTAGTTGTAGTAGTTGTAGTAGTAGTAGTTGTAGTAGTTGTAGTAGTAGTAGTAGCAGTAGTAGTTGTAGTAGTTGTAGTAGTGTAAGTAGTAGTTAGTAGTAGTGTAGTAGTTGTAGTAGTTGTAGTAGTTGTAGTAGCAGTAGTAGTTGTAGTAGTTGTAGTAGTTGCAGTAGTTGTAGTAGTTGTAGTGCAGTAGTAGTAGTGTTGTAGTAGTTAGTAGTAGTAGTTGCAGTAGTAGTAGTAGTAGCAGTAGTTGTAGTAGTTGTAGTAGTTGTAGTAGTTGTAGTAGTAGTTGTAGTAGTAGTAGTAGTAGTAGTAGTTGCAGTAGTAGTTGTAGTAGTTGCAGTAGTTGTAGTAGTTGTAGTAGTTGTTGCAGTAGTTGCAGTAGTAGTTGTAGTAGTAGTAGTTGTAGTAGTTGTAGTAGTTGTAGTAGTTTGTAGTAGTAGTAGTAGTAGTTAGTTGCAGTAGTTGTAGTAGTTGCAGTAGTTGTAGTAGTTGTAGTAGTTGCAGTAGTAGTAGTTAGTAGTAGTTGTAGTAGTTGTAGTAGTTGCAGTAGTTGCAGTAGTTGTAGTAGTAGTAGTAGTAGTTGTAGTAGTTGTAGTAGTTAGTAGTAGTTAGTAGTTGTAGTAGTTGTAGTAGTTGTAGTAGTTGTAGTAGTAGTAGTAGTAGTAGTAGTTGTAGTAGTGTTGTAGTAGTTGTAGTAGTTGCAGTAGTTGTAGTAGTAGTTGTAGTAGTTGCAGTAGTTGTAGTAGTTGTAGTAGCCCGACAGGCCAGCTCTAATACATATTTGATATGATCTCGTGGGCCAAATATAATTATATCGCGGGTCAAATTTGGCCCCGGGCCTGAATTTGACATCTCTGTTCTATGTAGTTCCCTCTGTTTTACTGTATTGTACTGTATATTAGTGTAGTACATTTAAGGATACCATATCACAGTACTTCAGTTACATCCAAAGTACATCAAAGTACTTCAGTTTCATCCAAACAAATTGACTTTTTCTGTAAAATTAAGCACTGTATGTATCAACTGTAAAGAGATGGTATTTTCTAAAAACATACATTTTTAGGAGCAGCATCAAGTCTTCTCAAGTCACGGGGCTCAAGTCCGAGTCAAGTCCCAAGTCTTTGTCTATTTTATTAAGTCAAGTCTCAAGTCCTAAAAATAGTGACTCAAATTTGACTCGAGTCCAAGTCACGACTTTCAACTCCCTCCCTCTGGTTTTTAGTAACATAAAAAGTGTTAGAATGTGATAATTTTTTGCCATCTCCCTCGGTCCAAAACTGCACACAAGCTGTTTACAATTCACAGCATTCATTGACTTTCCGGAGTTTAACTTTTGGTGGCAAAATCAGAGAAAATCCTGCACACTGCCCCATTCAATACCATTGTCCACATTTTCTATTCACTCCATTGGTCGTCTATTAACTCCAAAGTCCCTGGAAGTCCTTGAATAAAACCTTAGCTGAAAAGTCGCTGATAATACTGTTAGCCTTAGGAATCCTCCGCTTTTGTGCGAAAATACACAACGCCAAGGAGAATCAGGCAGGTATTGAGGCGCGTTTTGTTGTTGTTGTTGCGTGGCCACATGGGAAAGTCCTGCTTGTGAATAGCTCCCAGCTTGGCCCCCGGGCGCCCACTTCTCGCTGCCAAAACGCCCGCACAAAGAAGCTCCTCTGTGGGCTCGCTCCGGCAGCTGTCCCCCCGCCTTCCCGTCTCTCAGTCACCTCCGCGCGTTCAGACCGTTGGCTCGTTCGGAGGCGCCCAGATTGCGCCGGGTCCTTTGGGTGGTGCCGGGTTTGGGTTAGTGTTTATCTTGCATCAGATCGAGGCACAGACCAGCGCGGCTTCTGTTCAAACAGTCGGGTGTTATTTGGACTGAGAGGAAAAAGCTGAGCAGAGAGACGCAGTAGATGTGAATGTACTGGTGGTTAACTAAAAATTAAAGGACACACATGACGCAAATTTGACTCTTGTGAGCTTTAAGTCGTGTTTGAATGTCATTACCTCCTCAGATACTTACCTGGAGTTGTGTTTTGCTTCATTAATCCTTAGTCGTCTTCTCTGCCGTTTGCATTTTTGCTTGGATTGTTGCGTCATATGTAGAATTTTATTTTTTTTTTTCAAAGTATTTTTTATTAATTTTCAGACAATAAAAATTCCATCTGAACAACTGACCAGGTTAACACAGGTCAACATATAACCAAAAAATAATAATAATAATAATAATAATAAAATGAGTAAATAAAATACAATAAAAATAATGATAATAATAATAACAAATAACTAATTCCACACTCACACACTCATACACATTCACACATTCACTATGCAATACTTGCACAATACAATCCATCAATCCCAGGTGAGTCTTTGATTTATATTTGGTGACCATATGTACTTAAAACGAATAAAATAAAATATAAATAAATATATGTATATATATATATACACACACAACAATATTAAATATAAATAAATAGATAAATAAAAATAAATAGAAATATATTAATTAAAAGTTAGTAAAGAAACATGAATTATTAAA